CAACTGAACTCGACTGAAAGATGAGAAACTCTTGATCTTTTTGTTTTCTCCTGATGAGTTTAACATAATTAACATTTGATTCAATATGAAAAGAATTAATACAAAAGTTGATTATCTGAAAAACAATTGAACTATTCAGGAGAAAAGGTAAAATGTTTAGAAAAATCTCATTTTCTTTTCTTTGTTTTCGGTAAATATCCATTTTCATCTCATTAAAGGGTAACCATAGAGATTGAGGGAAACATTTACACAAAAAGAAACCTGATTAAAGTCAACTTATCTTTATTTTTCACTCCCAACCTTAATCATTATTTATTCCCATTTTCACTAATTTTTTCTTCCTTTTCTTTTCTTCACCAATTTTCGTTGCCCTTTTCTGGGTTCAACTTTTTTTTCGCTCTCTTGTCTCAATTGTAAAGTTTGAATAACAATCTTATATCAATTTGAATATTAAATGTTATGTTTGCAAGTATAATAAAAGAGTGACAAGAAATAATAGCAATAATAATGATATAACAGGAAAGAAGAAGAGAAAAGATTTCAAAGTAAAGCAAAAAAAATATACACTTATAATGGAGTAAACTACTGCAAGACTTACACTTTTTTTTCTGCCAAGTTTATAAACTTTAAAATGCGAAACTCCAACAACATGGTAATGAAGGTGAAGAAAAGGGCGTGAAAATGAATAAGAGGATCAAGAGGAAAAGTAAAAGGTAAAGCTTCAACTTGAGAGTGTCATTAATTGGGTTAAGTAAAAAAGGAAGATGCTGATGAATGGATGTGATCAAGTGTTGACTTAAGATCCTAGTCATATCCTCTTGTACAGGCGTGACATATGATACCTGCGCAACTTTATTGCAGAGTTTAAAGTCGATCGGTATGAATGAAAACTCTTGAGATCGAGAAGAAACAGAAAATATTATATTTTGATCAGTTTCATTAGCTTCTTCATTTTAACCTTCGCTATTTCACCTTTCTCTATTTAGACCTTCTCTGCTCTGTTTTTACCCTTTACACGGTAAACTGTTGACTGTTTTGGATGAGCGTAAATTAGTATAATGAATTTGCCGCATTAAGATGAGATGAAGAGAGAAAAAATAACTTGCAACTAAATGATGTTGATGAGGTTTACAGTTGATCATGAATGATGATTATTTACTTGGTCATTTCTTTGGACTCAAAGATTTACTTGTTGAATCCGTTGATGCATGTCAAAGTGTTTCGCATTATTGCATGTCCATCTGTTATTGCTCACAGCTTTGGTCAAATTAAAATTTCATTCAAATAGTGATTTCCTATCAATAACTTATTCCAAGCTTCAATTATTGATATTGAATTTCAATTCAATTTGCATGATTTCCTCTAATTGTGCCTTTGACAACCTCCAGAGACTTCATCATTTCTTCTTCTACTCCTTTCTTTTGTAATACAAGCCTGAACTTTTTGAGAAATTCATTTTCGAAGAAAAAACAAAATTCATGAAAATATCATCATTCAACTTTCGAGTCATTTCCTATGATTGACCAACAAGATGCATTCGAATGAGGAATTAATTGTTCGAAATGAACAGAGTAAAGAAAATGCAAAATGGGTTTGGGTATTGGGTTTTCATTCATTACCGATCGACTTTAAACGCTGAAAAAAAAGTTGCGCAGATATCATGTGTCACCTGTTAAAGTGAAGCAAAGTGAATGCGAATTGTTTGTTGAACAGGAAAATATCGAGCAGTTTACCGATGAAATATTGGAAATGAAGTCATCTTTTGCGAATTTATTCGCCCATTTTTGCTTCTGTGATAATTGTAACTTGATTCGAGTCAGTAGGTTTTGATGACTTTTTTTACTGCTTCAGGTAACCAAGTAATGAGGAAAAAAAACTGGTTTCAATGTTTAAATGCAATACAAGAGCAAGGAAAACATTTCCCAGCCATTTTTTACCTTCCAATTTCACCTTCTTCTCACTTTTTTCCTGTCTTCTTATCTTGTCGCTCTCTTTCTACATTTTTCTCCTTTCTCTCTTTCTCTTCTTCTTACCCAACTTCATCATCCTTCTGTCTATACAAACAACTTTCTTCATCTCCATCATAACCTTAGACTTTTTTTCCCACAATTTGATGTGATTCTCTGTAAGGTCTCTTCTCAAGCATCGGCTACGACAAAAAAAACATTTACTGTAGTCATTATCATCATTCCCATCAAGATAGAGTAAACTTTATTCTTAACGGAATTTATGTTTTCATCGATATTCATGGTAAAAGTTTTTATTCTAGTTTCAGGGGCAATACAGAATGGAATGCAATATAAAAGTTTAAACTTTTCCAAGTAAAAAGATATAATAATAAGATGTAATAATGTATGACCGGTAAAGTTTGAGAAGAAAATTGTTGAGATAATTTCTGTTGTTTACGGTCAGTTTATTACTAATTGTTTGTTCTTGTTACAGAGAATGGACCTTGAGCAGCTTGAAAGATTCTTCTTTTCGTTTGCAAATAAATTTTCTAAACAATTAGAAATTCTTTGTTTTAAATTGATGCTCCTTTTCAAAGCACTAAAATTATCAGCTGACCAATTGTCAGAGTAGACTTTTTGCTTCAAATGTGCCCAGAACCTTTCTATTGACCTCAGCTGACATTTGGTGGGTTTTGGTCCTTCTGAAACGTAATTAATTCTAAAATTATCCAAAGTTTCTCTCTGACATGAAGCAACATCTGTTCAGAACAGAATCTGCTGTTTTTGTGGGTTTTTGCGATGAAAGTACCAATCTTTGCTAACGAGGAAAAAAGGGTAACAGTCTAGTTACACGGACACAAGGAGGAGTGTTAATTTAACACACGATTTAAACCAATCGCAGTAAAGGCACTCATGTGTTATTTTGATAATTTTTACATAACAATGATATTTAAACTAATATTCAATTGTTGAATCAGTGGACAAACGAATTGACCAGCAAACTGCTTCAGAATTGCTTTAATATCTATCTCTATTTAGTTATTCTCAATTTTTACATTTAATTGATTGATACTAAATTCAAACAGATTGTCTTGATTGGATACTGATTTAAAAGTCTTGCTAGTTACGCCTTGTGTCCATGTAACTAGACTGTTATCGAAAAAAGAATCTCTCAAGCTGCTCAAATGGTCCACTCTCTGGAAATGGAAATGAACATTCATAACATTTTATTCAATATTTGAATGGACACAATTTTTCAATAGTTTAACTATTTCGTTAAATTAATAATTAAACACTAACAACTCCGATTGACGAAGCACAGTTACATTCATTTTCAAGTTACCACTTTGGAGTCAAAATTCAAGCTCAATAATCATTTAGTTAAAACAAAGAGTTTGTTTAGCCCTTAACATTAAGAATGAGAAACGTATTTAGTAAGACAGAGAAATAGACAGATGATAAGAATAATTTGTAGCATTTCTCTCTCTCATTTTAGACATTCATTTTTGAATATTACATTTTATCTGAAAAATGAAAAGTTCTGTTTGTTTTCAAATGTTGTGTTTAAGTTAATTTTCATCATTTATCGATTTTTAGGTAAAATGCTGAGTAAGTTTCAATCTTTTGATTAGAAAATCGAAGTTCGATAAACTTTTTTGGTTCGATTTTTTGAAAAATCTCTAAATGAAATTTCATTTGTAAACTTTTTTCTTGACAATTTTGAAGGTAAAATCAATGAATTTTAATAATCTGAATCGTGTTTGAACACCTTTAAGTTTTACTTGATTTGAAAAATGTTTAAATTGGTTATCTTGATGAGTGAACAAAAAATCAATTACAATGATCTAATCAGTATTGATGATGGTTTAAAGTTAATTTGAAAAGATTTTTGAATGATTAATGAACTTGTCTGGTGAATAATTCTTGAAGAGAAAAGTTTACATTTGCATTGAAATTTTCATGGTCTTTAGTTGAATTTAATGATTGGACAATTGACTTCAATTAAACGATTATCTTTACGATTTGGGCAAGTTTACGTTGTTTGCCTTTTGGCGTTTCTCAATGAAACAAATCAGAACAAGAATGAGCCCACTTTCAATTGATTTACTGATTAATTAAACTGTTCAAACAATTTAAATTCCATCATTCATTTTTACCTTTAAACCAAAATCCCTGTTGCCCTTAATCACACAAGATCGCCCCTTAATAAGCCAACTATTTATTCCAATTCATTTTCAATTGAATCTTCGAAACTATTTTTGTTTGCCCTTTCAATCAATTTCAACTAATTAAAGGCGATTTCAAGTCAAGTCAAGATGAAGGTTTGGTGAATAAAGTTGATGGTGTTGATGTTTATCGTTAAGTAGCAAGAAAATATTTAAATAAAGTTTACATCAACTGTTAATATATTTATACAAGTTGAGCTTATTGTTTTATTACAGAGTAATAAGGATAATAAAAGAAGGCTTTTGCACTCATTTGAAATCTGGTGATGAAGATGATGATAATGATGATAATGATGGTGAAGAGAAAGGTTGAGAATGGACAAAAGGTAAGAGGGAGAAGAAGTAGGAAAAGCTAAGGTAAAGTAGGAACAGTCAAGGTAGGTTGATTGGGATTGGATAAGGTTGGGTTTAGATCAAGGTAAAGGTAGAGAGAGAGAGAGTGAGTAACATTTATATGTTGCTCTTTTTTTATTGATGATAATAAAGAAAGAAGCAAAGACAGTGAGAAAAAAAGAGAGAGAAGAAGATGAAAAAATATTCAAAGGTAAAACCGGACTGATGAGGTTGATGTAGTTGCCTTGATAGAGTCTCACTTTACTCCGAGTATTAATACAAAGGTTTTTGCTCTTTCTTTTCTTTCGCGTTGATCATACAAAATAATGATAGTATAATTATAATGAATGATGAAAACAGGTTTTGGGTTATCCAATTTGAGTAAGAAAAGTCTTTTTTTTACGATTTTTTGGTTCGCTTTCTATCCATTTTCAACTTTTCTTCTAATAGATGGAGCTGTTTTTCAACTGTTTTCGCCTGTTTTTGCCTTTTCTGGTTTAGTTGTTAATCATTGCAATAAGAGTAAACTATGCTTCTTTACCTTTTTTTTTGTTTATCTCTTGCTCTTTCTCTGTCATTTTTATCAAATAGTAGAGGCGCTAAAAGGTAATTCAAAGGTATTTGTTAATTGATTAGATTAAAAAATTAGATTAAAATTAAATTGAAGAGTGACTGATTAAACGCCTCTAGCTTGGGACCGCCAACCTCGTTTACCATTGAATGGAGAGTTGTCTTGCTACTCTTTTATTTTTACTCTATTTTCCTTGTTTTTTAAAGTTCAACTCTACTGAGTTTATCTACATTTTCTGAACTTTTTCTCAGTCTTTTTCTTCATTTGGTGATTAATCTTGTGACTTGTTATAACAACATTTGGACAATATTATTTATTTTGGTTTAACCAACTTTGGCTACACTTTTCAACTCTTATGTGATATCGTCTGTTTGCCTTTGTGATTTTACTTCTGTTTTTTTGGGTTACACTTTTCTGGTTCTTGGTTGTTGGTTTAATCATTAATGATTGCTGATGTTTCATCTTTTGTTTTTGATTTACAACATCATGTCAACATGACAATTTATGTGTGTGAATCTATACCATGAGTTGTTACAATTATCCAACTGGACCATCATCTACAGTTACATCTGGTGCAACAACAACTACACCGCAAAGGATTAATTACAACAATGCTAGTAATGTGAATGGTGGTGGTGGCAGTGGTGTCAATTTGACCAACACTTTAACCGGTAATGCCAATTCGGTTTACAATAGTTTTGATGTTAATAATATATCCTCATCTAATCAACTTGGTTTAACCAATCCGGTTAGAAGTTCTTCTCGTCATTCTCACCGGTCAACCCGAACTGATCGTTCATATCATGTTCCAACCATGTCTAGTGGTTCAGGACTTATTGTTAGCCAGAGTATCAATGGTGGCATTGCCAATGGTTTAATATCTTCAGGTTCACCTTATGATGGTTTAATTCAAAATACAGATGATAGGCTTTCAATTAAATTAAATTCAACTTTAACCCGATCAGGTTTTGGTGGAACACCGAGTGGAAGTGGTTTAAATTTAACTGGATCCAATCAATTTCAACAACAACAACCACAACACCCTGCTCACCGTGTAAACTCATCAAATCATCTTTCTCACAGCCAACCTCATCACAATAATCATTCGTCATCACATCATCCAGTCTCACTTGCCGGTCAACAATCTTCCTCTTCCCGTCATCGTCATCATTACCTTTCCCATCACAATCAAAACCATCATCATACCGATGAATCAATTGAAGTGTCCATAATGCCTGGTGATGATCCCTGGGCTGATAATACAACAGCCATAACCGGTAACACCTCGGACCGTTCAGTGTCCATAGATGTTGATCTCAATAAACTTGGTAAACCAGGTTACAATTTATCTGTAACAAATTCATTTCGCAATTCTAGTGTTCATCATAACCTCAACAATGGTGACTCTTCAAACAATTTATGGAACTCTTCCGATTGGTCGACAAAATGCTCAATCTGGTGTGGACCATTTACCCTTGGACTATTATCTTTATGTGCCTTTATATCGCCCCTTGTGATGGTAATTTTACCTCAAATAGAAACCTTGGAGTGGAAGGTTAAGGAATGTGGACCCGAATGTGATGGCACCCTAATCAGTTGTCTATTTAAATTGGCTCTTCTCTCAATTTTATCCTACATTACCTTCTTCTCCTCGCCCCGATCATCCTTACCACGGATAGATGTTTACCGTGCCCTACTCATGACTCTACTCACCTTTCTCATGGTAGCTTATTGGGTGTTTTATATTGAAAAAATTTGGGATCGTCGTTTCTCCGACTATGAACTAACCTATCAATCTATCGTACAATTTTCAGTTTCCATTGTAGATGTACTCTTGTGGATACACTTTGCCGCTGTTGTAATGCTCAAAATAAAACCAAATGAATCTGTGTTTATAGTTAAAGTTACCCGATCACCAGATGGTGAAGCAAGATCATACACTTTGGGTGAACTATCAATTCAACGAGCTGCCGTTGTTGTCCTAGAAAAGTATTACACTGACTTTACCATTTACAATCCCTACCTTGAACTGGCTCCACGTCGGGTTCGAGGTAAATCTCTTCGTGGCATCAACAGTCTAGGGCCAAGGTCTACGTTGAAATTTTATGACATTGATGGCATCAGTTCCAATGCCAATGGTATGATTGGCAATGGAGGAATCACTGGTGAACATCAGGTTAATGGCAATGAATCTGTTGTCGGTGCTCCAATTGGACCTGGTGGCAATACAATTGGATTACCAGGAAGTTTAATTTTAGGAACTCATCAAAAATCGTCCACTCTTCAATCAGCCAATGGAAATGGTAATGAGCCTGAAAGATTTGATGAGATTAATAATTTGGAGGAAAGAGGTTCTCGTGTTGGTGGACGATCTGTTCGTAATGTTCGCGACAACTCTTCTAGTCATCATCACCATCACCATCATCATTCTCACAATGAAAGATTTTATGAAGAGCACGAGTATGAACGTCGAGTTCGTAAGCGTAAAGCTCGTCTTTTATCAGCAACAGAAGATGCCTTTACTCACATTAAACGGATACGTGCCGATGAACCATGTAAGTTACCATTTCAATTCAATTTATCGCCACTTTTCATCAGTTTTTTCAAACATTTCACCAAATCTATTGGAAAACACAAAATCTTTCAATTCAAACTTTATAAATACTAGACTACTGTTGATAACAGTGAAGTCTGAGCGTGACATGACTAAAGATTTTAGTAATAAGTAATGAGTTTTTACGGGCAATAACCACAAAGAGAATTGTCGTTAAATCGAAAAACGTGTTAGTTAAATTTATATCGATCAATGTAAAATTTCAGCTCTATAACTCTTATGGACACAGAAATCAGTCGATTTAACGTAAAAAAGAAGTGTTGTACAGAAACATAATTTTTCTCAAAATAAGTCAATTTCCTGGTATATCATCAAAATTTATGCAGAATAACGAAGTTTCATGCAAAAATCTGCTTCTATTCTACAACTTTGCGTTGCGTTTATCTCAAAACTAACTTGATCTGTTTAAAAGAAAAAGAAAATTTTATTCCTCAAAATAAGTGCATTTTCTGATTGGCCATCTAAGTTTATATCAGAAAAATGAGTTTCATGGAAAAGACTACTTCCATAGCTAGAGAAAAGATGATCGAAGTTTAATTTTTGACCTCGATTTTATCGAAAACTGTCGATCGATAAATTTTGTAATAGCACTAATGGACTTGTAAGTTTTTATGTTCCTACAAAGTCCCGAAAGTTTTTGCCCATAGTTTCTTTATTAATTTTTGAAAAGTGACATCTGTTTTTATCCAAAATAACTAATTTCGGGAAAGTGGACCAATCTCAACCAAATTTCCGTCTGCAATGTCTTATGCCATACGGGTGCTAGATATTAAATTTGGTTGAGATTGGCTCAGTAGTTTTGGCTCTAGAGTGGGTAATTTCCCCACGCTTTTCATAATAAAGCCTTCGCTTACGCTCAGACAAAAAGGCAACCTGTTAGTAAAGTCCTCATGAAAATTTGAAAATTTCAGTTAAATTAAGCACAAAGAGTGTTGTAGCAAGAGAGACCACGAAATAAGGAAAAATTTAGGTTTTAGATTTGGTAATAAAGTTCACTTTAAGTTGGCGTATAATTAAAGAATTGAAAAGTTAACCAGAAAATGCACTAAAAACTATTGCTTGAAGCAAAAATACACTCAAAGTTGTCAATGTTTTAATCGATTTTTTGATTAGCGCCGCCCGAGAGTCAACTTTGAGTTTATCTCAAACCTACAAAATTATCATTACGTGAAATCTCTTACTCTTTGGTTAAGCATGTCATAGAGAGAGATAAATGATACACAATTTTAATCACAAAACTATGCTCTTCTTGATGCATTATCCATCGTAATCTAATACGACACCTTTTCTTGAATGAACTTTAATGAGCTCTTTTAAAAACATTTTGCCAAACCCATGTTATTGCAATAAAAACACAGAGAAATTGAGATTAGACAAAAAGCTGAAAAGCTATACACAAATGTAAAGACTTTCGGCAAACGTTTATCCATTCTCTTTTTGTTCAATTATGTAATGAAATTCATGGTTACAGACATTTAATATTTTGCCTTTGCTTTCGCTCAGATTTAATCATGAAAATTGTCTCATTTTAAAAGGCAAACAAACGGATAATTCACTTGAAATCATGAGTTATATGGTTGACAAAGATCCCATGAGAAGTAACTCATATTCATCTTCATTTTTAAGTTAATTTCCTTCTCTTGCCTCATCATCATTATTCAGTTTCAGTTTTTGTTTTCATCTTCAACTCGACTCTCCAACTACAATTAACTTTCATCTCATTGTAAACCTTTTTTTGTGTTCAAGACTGGACTCAAGCAACTCAGATCAATCAGTAGAAAAGGAATCTTTAAACTTGTATCTATTCTAATTTTCAGTAAAAAAATTAGATTAAAAATTCAATCCTATTGCTAGTAAGCTTGAAAAATTCGGAATCTACTAACAGGTCGCCCTTTATGTTGAATGATGATTGATAAAAGAGGCTAAAACAGAGGATCAATAACATTTACCACTTGTTTCCATTCATTTCCTTCTCGTGCCAAAGTTGCATGGTTACCCTTTTTTTCGTCAAAATGAGAACCATGTTTTCTCATTATGAATAGTGTTTCTCGTGCATCACGTCGCATGTTAAACTGAAGAAAATCTCAACATGGCATTGTTGGATAATCACCTTTATTTTGCTCAGTTAACTAATCATATCATGCCTTTCATCTCAATGAGCATTTCATTCCCAAATTCAATTCTCATTTTTTTTCTTGTTTTCCTTTTTTTCTCCTCTTCTCTCATTATCTTCTTCTTTTCCATTTCGTTTACATTTTACTTACTTTTCAACATTTGTTCAATACATAAATCATAACCAAATCTCATCTTCATCTTAATCTCTGTAGTGATATACGGAAAAGAAATTGAAAAAGAAAGGAAAATAAAGCACTACAACGAAAGTGTTGTTTGATTTTTGAATATTTTATTGAGAGTAAAAGTTAAAGAGTTTACAGTCTTCTAGCGAAGCTTGGAATCTGACCCTAAAGGGACAACTTTGGCTTTTATAACCGTCGAGTTCACTTTGAGTGCTCACTTTGAGTGCTCACTTTGAATACTCACTCTGAGAGCTTAAGCTGAATACTCGCTTTGAGAGCTTAAGCTAAATACTCGTTATGAGCGCTCATTTTTAGGGCTCAGATAGAGTGCTGATTATGCTTAGTCAAAAAGGGAAAAAAAGAAATAGGATTTAAGAAGGAAGGTTAAGAAAAGGATTAAAGGTTAAAGTGAAAAAGTAGTCCTCATTATAATCTGGTCACCATATTCCCCCTTACTTGGAATTATCCTGCCGAGGATAATAAGAGCGACAATTTCTGATATGAGCGAAATGCTCTTGGCCATTATCTTCATAGATGATTGTTTTCTGGTATCCATCTTTTTCTGAGATTCGTAATATTTTGAATGGGCCTTTGAAATTAAACTTTTTACCAACTTTCGAAGATGCAACTAGAACCATTGAACCTGGTTCAAACTTAGTGATCTTACTCTTGTTACGATTTGCATATTCTTGCATTTTCTTTCGATAATTTTCTTGTTGTTTTTCATCAAATGGTTTTTCTTTTTGAATTAAGCTAGTATCGATTCCAAAATGCTTATCTGCTGGGAGAGGATCGACATAACCAAAAGCTTTGAAAAATGGTGAACAACCTAAAGCTCGATTGTATGACCGATTGCTGTGTTTTGCAGCAGCTTGAACTGCAGCTTTCCATCCTCCTGGAAAATCAGGGAAACAACTGACAAAAATCTTTATTTTTTGCACACATCGTTCTGCCATTCCATTTGACCAAGGGCTGTAGGGTGAAGTTGTAACCAATTTTATCCCCAATTCATTAGCAAGTTGCTTGGTTGAGTTGGCTACAAATGATTTGCCACAGTCAGAAATAACTTTTTTGATTTGACTTATAGCTGGATGAGAACGTAAAAAATTAACAAATGATTTTGCATCTTCTCTCATTGGAATCGCTTGACACAAACGAGATGCTTCATCTACAGTAACCAAAAAAGATTTGGTTTTTCCAATTCCATCACTTTTCTTATTAATCTCGCCGTAATCAACATGCATCACTTCGAAGACTCGTTTTGAGTGCTCAGGTTGAGTAATGAAATCGAGGCTCTGTTTGAACTTTGCTTTCTCACGTTGACAAATATCGCAAGTGCGTATGTAATCAATTATACTTTCTTTCATTTTCGGCCAAGTGAATCTTGCAGCCAACTTATGATAGGTTCTAGAGATACCATCGTGACCGCCTGACTCAGGGTCATCATGATAGGCTTTGAGAATTGGTTGAATTTGATCTTCGGTAACTTGAATTCTAGTCGAGCCATTCTGAACTTTAATGAAGTTTATGGTTGGTATTGAAGGACAAAGTCTTGAAATCGCATCGGCGTCGGTCAATTCACGACCAGAACGGTGATTAATTTTGAGGTTAAAACTCATGAGAAAAGTTTGCCAACGGCCAAGTCGATTCTTAGGTTCCTTTAATGAAAGGAGGTGAGACAATGCTTGATGGTCACTGTTTACGATGAATTCTTTACCCTCTAAGTAGCTGCGAAAATATTTTATTGCCTTTATCACAGCCAAGCATTCTTTTTCAGTTGTTGAGTAATTTAACTCAGGCTTGGTGAATGTGTAAGAATAGTATCCGATAACTTTTAGTTGTTTGCAGCGTTGTTTACTTCCATCACGTTGATATAAAATAGCACCAGTTCCATAATGCGAGGCGTCACATGATAACTCAAATTGAGCGCTCCAATCAGGAACTCCTAAAATTGGATTAGAGCTGATCGCATCTACGAGTTTTTGATAGGCTTGTTCGCATGATTGATCCCAGGTAAATGGTACGTCCTTTTGTTTTAGTCGGTCAAGAGGCCTAACGATTTCCGCATATTTCGGAATGAAGGATCGAAAATGTCCAGTCAAGCCAGTAAAACAGCGAAGTGAGTGAAGGTCATCGGGCTTTTTCATAGACTTGACTCTTTCAATTGACTCAATTCGAGTGGTTTTAGTTTGACCATTAATAACACGACCCAAAAAGGTTACACTTTCAGCACAAAAAATGCTTTTAGCTTCATTCACTTGAATTCCTGCATCATGCAATCTTTTAAGTACTAAAAATGAGTACTTAGCACAATCAGTTTTATCCATACCACCAATGCATATATCATCGATATAAACTGCCACTTTACTTGTTTTAAGTAAATCACCCAAGATTTCACACATCATCCTTTGGAACAGGGGAGGCGAATTTTTCCAACCAAAAGGCAATCGGGTCATCTCATAATGCCCGAATGGTAGCACAAATGCAGTAAATTTTCGAGTTGGCTTAGTAATACCTATTTGCCAGAAACCGTCTTTAAGGTCCAATTTAGTGAAGAAATGGCAACCTCCAAACATGTTGATAATCTCGTCAATTATTGGAAAAGGGAATGGGTCAAGCGTGGTGTTTTTGTTAATCTCACGATAATCTTGACACAATCTCAATTGACCATTTTCTTTTGGGACGATGACACATGGTGAGGCGTACTCAGAGGTTGATTTTTCGATGATTCCTTGAGATAAAAGTTCATCAATTTTCTTTTGTGCCCATAAGTATTTTTCTCTTGATAATCTGAATGCTTTGAACTGAATCACTGGGGCATCGATTGATAGTTGGAAGTCAACTTTTTTTTTCGGTTGGTCATGGTTGAGAGTAAATATTGAAGGAAAACGTTCTTTTGCTTGTTCCAGGTCAAAGATGAGATCTCTCGTATTCATCAACTCATTTTGAGCGCTCATTTTGCGTTCCCGTTGTGAACACTCATTTTGAGTACTCATTTTGAGTTCTCGTTGTGAACACTCACTTTGAGCACTCATTTTGAGTTCTCTTTGGGAATACTCATTTTGAGCACTCATTTTGAGAAGATCTGAAGTTTCAGTACAAATACGGTTAAGTTCAAAATCCCATTTGATTTTTAAAGACTTGAGAGCTTTTCTCGATAGTAGCACATCATGTTCACATTCATTTGTGACAACAAATTCTAAAATGCACTTTGTTTTTCCAAATTGTACTTGTGCTTTCACTTTTCTGTTGTATTTCGAAACTTGACCATTATAAGCACGAAGAAAAGAGTCACCATCGAATGCTTCAAATCCATTATCATTTACGAACTTTTCTGATATCATATTTGCTTGAGCACCACTATCGAATAGAGCCATAGTATTTTTACCATTCACTTTAATTTCAAAAACTGCATCATCTTCGTCATCATAATTGCAATCATTAGATATTGAATATGCTTTAGATATGTCTTTTCTGTGTCTGTCATCTGTCCTTGGTCTTTCTCTTGCTTTGACTTTTTCGTCGTCACCTTGTCGTCGATCTCTTGATTTGGTGGGTTTTAACTGGCAAAGAACTTTTCGAAGTTCATCTTTCGAACTTATTTCTGTAAGGTTGATTTGCTTGGATAAATCATCAGGTAGACTCAGAAGCATAAGAGTTATAAAATTGAAGTCATCTAGATCTGGAAATGCCAATTGCAGAAGTCTTTGCTTTTCATAGTAATATTCAAGCAATGGTCCACCTCTGTATTCCCATGATAGAGCTGATTGTGCTTGTGAAAGTCTATTCTGTCCAAACGATTCAAGAAAAGCTTCTTTCCATGGAAGCCATTCAAATGGAATTTGTTCAACCAATCTACTATTAAACCATTTTAGGGCGATACCTTCTAAATAGGCTTTCAAATTGTTAACCTTGGCGTCATCAGAGGTCCAACCATTGAACTCACATGCCTTCTCATAGCTGATTAACCATGTCTTTGCGTCTTCTTGTTTACCATTGAATTTAGTAACCTCCATCCGTTGGTTCTTTGGACGGGACATTGGAACCATAGTTTGTTGAAAACTTGCCATCATCATTTGAAACGATTCCATTTGTAGTTTCATCATTTCTCGAAACATAGAAGGAATCTGATTATCTGTTTGCTCATTTTGAGAGCTCACTTCGATACTCTCATCACTTATCGATCCACTTGAAAGAGATTCACTGGTGTAGGGTTGAGCTTGTTCAGGTGAAAGGAAAAGAGTAATTGTCCGTTGTCTAGTCATTTCACGCATTGCACATAAGGTGGGTTCCAACTGAGCAATATTTGGATGAAATTGAATGGATTGTTGGTCATCTCTAACGAGAGACCATTGTTGATCTGAATTTGGTAGACAATATCTTGTTACACAAAACTGATCATCTTTTTTCACTAAGGTAAATTTAATACGAATAGGAATTTGTGACATCCTGTCGACTGCGCCAATTTGTAGTGATATACGGAAAAGAAATTGAAAAAGAAAGGAAAATAAAGCACTACAACGAAAGTGTTGTTTGATTTTTGAATATTTTATTGAGAGTAAAAGTTAAAGAGTTTACAGTCTTCTAGCGAAGCTTGGAATCTGACCCTAAAGGGACAACTTTGGCTTTTATAACCGTCGAGTTCACTTTGAGTGCTCACTTTGAGTGCTCACTTTGAATACTCACTCTGAGAGCTTAAGCTGAATACTCGCTTTGAGAGCTTAAGCTAAATACTCGTTATGAGCGCTCATTTTTAGGGCTCAGATAGAGTGCTGATTATGCTTAGTCAAAAAGGGAAAAAAAGAAATAGGATTTAAGAAGGAAGGTTAAGAAAAGGATTAAAGGTTAAAGTGAAAAAGTAGTCCTCATTATAATCTGGTCACCATAATCTCAACTTTCACCCTTAATTTAATTCAATTTCAACATGTTTCCCTCAAACTATTACAACTTTTCAAAGTTCATCTTTACTTTGTTTACTCATTTTGCACAGTTGAACAATTGAACAAATTTAACGGCAATTATAATCAATAAGATGCACACATAATTCACCTGAATCTGCTTTAAGTTTGCATAAATTACCAAAAAAAGTCATCTGTTGCTCTTAAAATTTTATAAAATCTTCCAAGAAAAAGTTCCAAAAATTGATTCAAAATTTTTCCAAATTTGCTTCTATCTTTCACTGAGAGTTGAAAACAAATGCTCAAAAACATCTTAACTATGAAACAATAGTTGTACAACAATTATAATTACCACAATTTATCACTTAATTGAAGCTAATAGCAATTATAATTTATCAAATTCCCCCTTTTGATTAAATGTAAACAATTACAGTTCAATTTACAAATCAAAGTGCAACTGAAAAGAAGCTTGAAAAAACTTGAAATCAATACAAATAAATTTCAAGTTTACCTTTTTCTAGCCTCTTATTTAAACACTGAAAATGAAGTTTTCAACTTTTCCAATTTTGTTTTCTCTCTCTCTTCCAATTTCATCTAAACTTCAATGAACGGATCTATCATTTTACATGTATTACTGGTTACTTCATTTTAATTCATTTCATCCTCTCATGGTAACACTGTTAGAGTAAAGAAAATGTTACCTCAATGAAAAAAGATGAAGTTGATGATGATAACATCCGATTTTGCCTGAGGGTCCATTCTTCCCATCGAACATTTGCTATCTCACTATTTCTCTCTTTTACCGACTAATATTAGCTAAAGAAGAAGAAGAAGATAAAAAATGAAAGTATAAAGAAGATGGAAAGACTGGTCAGAGATGATAATGTGAAGGAATATAATTTGGTAAAATGATGATAAAAAGAAGATAAAGAAAGAAAGAGAGAGAAAGAGAAAGGATGAAAAAACTCAAGACCTCACGTGAACTTGGCAACATTGTGAACTGTCCATTGAAATGTGGAAAGTAAGAAAGATGGAAGAAGAAAAAAAAACTCAAATAAAAATGCAAAACTATTGAAGCTCATTGTATCTTACATATACTCTTAATTCAACAATAAACCATCAACCTGAATAGCCAAAAGTTTTTCTTTCAAACACAATGATACAAAATACGGATTCTCCTTTTTCCCACCCTGTTTAAACGTTCATTTCTGTGATTGAAGTAAATTAACTATAATTGATCAGCTAATCAATACTAGTTGAATTAGCAATTTAAAGGTGCCAGAACTTATTGAAGTTTTTCATGAAAAGGTTGAAATTGAAATCAAAATTTAACATCAATCGAAAGTTTAAGGTCCATATAATCACTGAGCAAAATTTGAAACTTCTAATCATTACCATTATTTAACTATTCAAATTGGTTGCTCAAAAAAATCAATTTTTTGGCCATTTTCTATGCGATTTTCAAATAGGATTTTCATTTGAATTGCAAAAAAGTTGAGAAAATGAAAGAAAGATTGAAAGGATTGTTTGTGGCGCCATCGCGTTCGCCTTCTTTTCCCTATTCTTATCTCATAAAGATAATCAAAATTTCGTTTTCTTGTTATACTCTTTGGTCTATCTGCTTACTTCCCTGACCCAATCCTATTGAAATGTTTTAAATGACCGAATTTCGATTTACTTGATTGGATAATTAACTCTGTGTGTACGAACTCATTGTCCGTACTTTTATTGTATGGATGGAATTAACTTAATGTAATAATTGCCTTAATATTAGAGTTTGAATTTTGCCTCATTTATCATTCATCATCTCTTGTTTACCCTTTAATCTGATTTAAGATGATTAAGAAATTGAATTTTTGTTCATTTTAACTAATCAATATTTTTCGTGTCTTTTCAATAGGTCCAGTTTCATCTCCAATTGATCCCAAAGAAGCATCTCAAGCAATATTTCCTGCCATGGCCCGATCTCTTCAAAAGTTTTTACGAGTGACGAGGCAACAGCCACGACATACGGTCGAATCCATTGTTGACCATTTGGCCACCTGTTTAACTTACGATCTTTCACCGAAAGCTTTTCTTGAAACCTTTTTCAACCCTCGTCCAGTCATATCATGTTCAACTGAATGTAAACCCATTCAAACCTGGGGCTTGGTTTCAGACGTTTTACTCACTCGAACCATCGAGTCGGGCACAATTTTCATGCTTAGACAAAACGATGTTTCCCTTTTGGTTACCGTAACATCGATTCCTCATTTAAACATTACCGAAGAAATTATCGATCCAAAATGTAATAAATTTGTATTCAAAATGAACTCTGAAACTTCAGTTTAAGCTGAAACATGTTTCACCATTTAAATAATCTTTAAATCTTGCTGAATATTTACCGGCATCAAAATCATTATTTAATGAAAATATTAAAAAACACATTTACAAAACCTTCCATTTCTCTTATCCACTTGACTTTTTCAGTATAAAATCGGTTCGTCACGAAACGGTAAATTCGAGTCGGGAAAAGTGTTTTGTACTTTAGTGATCTCAACTTGACACTCTTTTCGTTGCTTTTGTTTGCCATTATCAGAAACAGCAACTGCAACATGTTCAAGATTCATTTTTAAAGCTTATCAATGGATCATGAATTATTGACCTCTAACAAGATTGTAAGATTTATCACCATGACTCAAATTGAACCAATTTATCAATATTAAAATTCAACATTTGCTAAGGGCAAGTAAAAGATAAATGACTTCTGTGTTGAATCTTTGATAATATTTCTTTTAATGAGAAATTTTTCAATATTTTGTATCATTTTTGTTGCTTGTTTGATCAATACAAGTTACATTGATAGTGGTTGTTGAAGTGATTTAAGTTTATCTTGTAATTTCATTGAATTTCCTGGCTTGGACAATCAAATTGTTCCCATGTTAAGTGTGTCTTTGTGTCTTCCATTCACAAAGTTGAAGAATATAAATTTACTTAATTTTTGGTTGCTTTATCTTGATTTCTGTCGAAACGTTGAGAATAGTCAAGAATGATAATAGTTTCTAATTTGTTTTCTTTTGGTGGCGATGTTGATGACCAGGGTTGGCGAGAAGAAGAAAGAGAAAGAATGTGAATTTCAATTGAAACGAAATGAACGTTCTCTTCATGTTCATCACAAGTTTCGATGAGGTTGAGTTTTCTTGATAAATGAAGTGGCAAAAAAGGACGATAAGATGGCCAAAGATGAAGATGAATATTGGAGGCAATCTCCATCTCAGTTGAATTCATGAGTAAAATGATAACAGGAAATGTGCTCAATTGATGGATATTCATCAATTTTGATGAAGCATTTGTTTTTGCGTTAAAATCAACAACTTGGTTTCAAATATTTCTTTTCAAAATAACATTATTCGAGACCAAAAAAGTGTTTCAAAAAGAGAACGAAGTAGAAATTATTTTTATCTATTCAACGGACTTTCATGATTTCCATCTCTTGTCATGCCAATTGAAAAAAATGACTTTCTCTATTCAAGCTTTACTTCCATTCCTAATCAACAAAACTTTTTCAATTGAAACTGTAAATTTATTGGTAAAATATTTTTATAATAATAATAGCATCAATAATAATTGTAATAATTTTTGTTTCGAGGGTTCGAAAGATTTCAACCTTAAAGTGTTTCACTTTTGGCTACTTTTTGTGTCTCTTTGATTGATAAATGGTCAGTCAGTAAGTATTCAAGTTGATCGAGTAAACACTTCTAAAGTTGATCTCTTTCAAATCCATTTGATATTTGCTTCAACTTTCAATGGAAGCCTGAAAAATTAGCAGAAAAAAAGAGTTTTGGTGAATTTTGTTTTCTTATGAACATTACTTGAATTTTCATTCTTGCCTTTACTTTTGATTATTCATTCAGATCCTCGTGATTAATAGTGTCAGTGAGTGTTTTCTGGTGTTTGAGTGAAAGTGTAATGTGTTGTGAAGTGAAGTTTGGCTGTTTGCTTTTTTTGGGGAAATTTTTTTTACCTTTTTCACCTTTTTTGTCAATTTTATGGAAAAAGTTCAAGTTTTCAAAATGAAAAGAATCTTTTGAAAACTTGGAATATTGATTATTTGTTTTGTTAAGTATTAGCTATTTCGGTGTTTACCTGAGCAGATAATGATATATTAATTCATGGAGAAAGGCTATACTTGATAATTTCTGTCAACCCTGGAAGGTTCATTCTCTGTGCTTAACTCTTTTGGCCTAAATGAGTGTCGAGCATCTTTGCGCTTCTTCTTTTGAAGCGATACTCTTGGGTTTTGACTTTTGTTTGAGCGCAATCTTGACTTTTTGTACAAAAATTTTGTTGTCACATTTTTAGTCGCAATCAATTGCGCAGTTTTGTTGCTTTTGATCCTCGTGATTCTTGCGCTTTTTTCTTGTTCTTTTGTCTTTCTTTCTCTTTCTTTCATTATCTCGGGTTAATAAGGCCTGTTGGCATCTTTTGGTCGCTTCAGTTGAACCTTAAGGCGTTTCATACCAATCTGGAAACCATTCATGGCTTGTATCGCATTCTGGGCACTGGCTGGGTTATCAAAGCTCACAAAGCCAAAGCATTTTGATTGATTTGTGGCTCGATCAATGAATACTTTGGCTGAAATAACGTTACCAAAGGGAAGAAACATTTGCATTAACTCGGAATCTCCAAACTCTTGAGGAAGATGGTAAATGAACAAGTTACATCCATCGGGTCCTTCCCTTTGTGCCACTGAAGAGGCAACAATGGAACCACCAGATTGTTGTGCTGCTAGAACTGGACAGAAAAGAGAGAAACAAATAAAATATTTATTTTCAGAAAATAATATTTGAAAAAGGATTGAGAAATTTCTATTGCTTTCTTTGTGAAATCATAAAATGGTCAACTTGTTGAGAAATGGTCTCAAGAAAGGGATTCAGATGGAGACGAAACTAATAAAATGTTAATCTATTGGAAGAGATTGTTTGAGCAAGTGAAATGTCTGCCATGGAAGATTAATTTCATTGAATTCTTATCTATCTCAAGTTTTTGCAGTTTGTTCTGTAGCAAAGTGTTCATATAAGTTGAACTTGCATGCTCAATGCTTCATGATTGTAGATGAAAAATAAATGTTGAAATTGATTGGAAAGATTAGGTCAACTCGGTTATCATGCAATGTAACTCTAGTATCTTCTCATTCCTTTTATTTGCCGACTGTTTGTGAATCATTCGAAACTAGTTCAATGAGAAGCTGAAAAAATAAATTAACTTTTTATGTTTTGAATCAGTTGATTAGGATTGCTATGTTAGTTGAAGGAATGAGAAAAGATGATCTCTTGGACAATTGGAAAACGGTGATTCAAATGCTGTCCAAGACACTGATCCAAATCAACCTAGCCATCAACGGTTTATCGCACCTTCTTACGGTTCGATTCATGAGAAATTTCACATATTCTCAATGTAAATTTTTGATAAAAAAATTGCTCTCAAATTGTAAGATCAACATCAAAATAAATTGAAAATTTTCATCAATCACTGGATTTATCTGCAACTTGCTTTTTGTGCCGTAAATAAGTTCAACTCTACAAAAGGCTTTCAAAAGACTGAGTTAAAAACTGATCGATTTACATAAATTTGTCAATATTTTCCATGAAAAGTTCAATCAAATTGATGATTGCCTTCAAATGGCAATCTTATTTCACATAAAATGCTCATCTGTATCGATGTAAAAGTATGTTCATTCTAAGTCACTAGAGGGCAGCACTGACTTGTTCAGGATTGTTCATTTTTACAGGCAACAAGTAATCAATAAATTTAACAGTTGAAGGTAAATTGAAATTTAATATCTTAATATCACTTCTTTTCTTGCCAATCTTATTGATCTTCATTTATCTTTTCTGGCAATGACATGTTTAGCTTGTTGAATAGACTAAGAAATGCAAGTGACACACATTTATAATTGACTCGACTGTCCTTATCTTGACCATACTTCAAATAAACTGTCACAATCAATTTAATAAAAACTGACAACAGAATTGGTAAACCAATATTGAGTTTTCCAGGTGAAAACGTCTTACTCTGAATATTGATTGAAGATTTCAGTTTAGCTAGAAAAGACAATTTTACTTTCTCTCTAACACAAGTAAATCTGAATAATGAAATTTGTCTCAACTCAACAAAAACAAGCTCGTAAATTCAAAATTGGTTGCCAGTCAATCTTTCATTTGTTGAGCAAACTTGCATATTCATAGCGTTTTCTGGCAAAAAACAGCTTCTCAGGATTGTCCTTTAACACAAAAATAATTGCAAAATGTTGATCATGAAGCAACGTAATTTCAGTTTATTGATTTCAATGAGACTATTGGGAGTTGATTTTCCAATGAATATTCTGGATAAGCCATGAAATTTTAACCTTAAATAATCTATAGATCTAAATTGGTTCAAGAGGAAATATTGAAACTCGAAAAAAATGTTGAGTTCGAGGTCAACTATTGAATTTCAAAGGAACTGAGCTAAGGTTGGAAATGGATTTGATGACCAACGAAATGTTTTCATTGCGATTGAACATAATCGATATTTACCTTGAGCAAACTGGCCAGCATAGGCAGCCGCTGCCGCTGAAGGATAAGCCGCTATCCCGGGATAAGGTGAGTGAGGATTAAGGCTGGAATAAGCGGCAGCCGCAGCAACAGCCGCAGCAGCAGCAGGTGATAGACCATCAGATCCCGGAGCTGAAGCTCCATTTGGAATGGCTCCCACTGAGGTGGGTGGAGGCGGTGGAGGTGGCAATAAACCAGAAAGACATCCATTGGTAAACACTGAGTCACCTGTATGAGCTCCACCATTGGTGCCACCAGCAGCGGCAGCTGCAGCTGCAACTGCGGCAGCAGCAACAGCAGATCCATTGCAAGTGTGAGTCGGAAAGTTTGGCGGACTTGGTGCTGTTGTTGGAGGAGCATGTGAATGAGGATGACTGTGATGACCAGAAGCTCCATTGGTATTGTTTGATCCATTGGTCAGGTTTCCACCCGGATTACCTGCTCCAATCCCAATGAAACCTTTACCATTGCAAAAGGGTCAAAGGAAATCACCAAACATTGTCGATATCGATTTATATCGATTAAAGAATAAAAAGGAAAATAAAATTATTTACAATTAAAATATTGTGAAATGAAACAATCAATCAATCAAAACACAACTTTCATTCAATTTGCAACCAAGAACAAGTAAAAGAATAGAAAATTGAATCAATTTTTTGTTTCATGAAAACTTACCAATACAGCCATCTGATGATGAAGTTAATGTTGCTGGACTCGCTAATCCATTTGGTATTTGGCACTGAGGAGGTAAAGGAGGTGCTAAAACAGCAGCAGCAGCCATTGGATTGATGTAACCCTGTGAAGCGGCTGCTGCTGCCATAAGCGCTTGATGATGTTGGGCATAAGCTGCTCCATAAGAGCCAAAAGTGTTTACCATGAAAGGATTGAGTATGCCCATGTTACCTGCAAGCTGTTGCATACGACGGATCTGCCTTTCCTTTTCCGTGTCTGCAAATTTAACCACAAGGGAAGATGAAGCTCCATGCATTGTTTGACTTCCATGGAGAGCATCAATGGCCGATTGAGCTTCACCGTGTGATGAAAATTTAACAAATGCACAGCCCTTTGACTGGCCATCATGACCACGAAGTATTGTACACTCTTCAATGGTACCAAAGGCTTGCAACAACTGTCTCACATCATCTTCCGATTGTTGCTTGGACAACATTCCGATAAACAGTTTTCTCTCCTCACCACGACCTTCAGAGTCGGATTTCACTTGAATTGGACGGTTCATCTGGAAGAAGCGAAAGAGAGACAAAAAAAATATTAACAATAAATCCAAAAATGAGCCAAAACTGATGGTAAAGTGAATGGTCAAGACAAGAGAAAAGAAAAGGACGAAAATGAAAAGAAAACAATCAATCACATGAACTACTGAAAATGTTGATTAATCATGATAGTGTCGACAATCGAGAGGCAAAAAATATGAAAGAAAAATAAAGTTTATGGAAGGCGAAAAAAAAGTTATCAAAAGTAGAGAAACAATGAACACACTTTGACTGATTTTGTAGTTTTTGTTGGACTAACTGTTGATGGTGAAGTTGACGTTGAAACTGTTGATGTTGCCGTTGAGATGAAATTCATTGATGGTGAATCTGATTGTTTACAAGGTTCATCAATTGAACTATCAATGGTATTGGCTGTTGAATTATTATTATCGCTATCACTAGTTGAATGGGAGTTGTCAATGGAGTTATTACTATTGTTGATGTTTTTGATGTTTTTTATGTTGAGAGTGTTGTTGGTGTAATTATTTGAATATTTAACACGATAATTGACGGTTGAGGAAGATGTTGATGAACAAGATGATAGAGTGGTACAATCGGTTGGAATTTTGGTTAAAGGTGAAAGAGATGTTGAATTGTAAAAGTAGGGTGAACTTGAATGATGGTAAGATGATAAATTGTTGTGCTGATGAGCAAAGGGATGATGATGATGATGGTGATGATGGGAACCTGAATTGGAATGAGGATGTTGATAGTGAGGGTGTGATGACGGCTGTTGCTGTTGGTGAAGATGGTGATGAAGTTGAGGTAAAGTTGACAGCGAGTTTACTATGGTTGCTGGTGGCGATGAAAAATATGGTAAAGTTAATGATGATTGGTAATTGGGTAAAACAATATGTTGATAAACTAGGGAATCCATTTATAACCAATTATCTGTGTAAGCACAAACGACTTTCTTGGAGGGATTAAAGTGTAATGTTCAGCATCAAGTTTACAAGTTTCCTTGGTCTTTCTGGTCTCATTGCTGTTACTACTTGAGTCAACTTGTGGCAACATTTAATAAACGCTTTCAATGATTGTTGTATTTTTGTCTTATTAAAATACTAATTGACGAAAAAAAATGAAGGAGAAATGAAGGAAAATGAAAGAATAAAATTGGAATAAAATTTACAGAAAGTTCAATATTTTATCAAATTTATTACCATTCAACATGCTCTATGAAACTATCTGTTTCCACACTGAATTATCTTTCAATTTCTTTCCTTCATATTATTCACATCATCATCATTCTTATCTTCATTTTGTTCACATGCTCTTTTCAGTCGCTCTTCATCTCACCAACTCACTTGTGCCATGTTGAAGGAAGAGAGAAAAGGAAGAGAAAAAGGAAGAGAAAAGAAGAAGAAGAATGAAGAAAGAAAAAGGTTCAAACTTTGGAGTTGTCAAGGGAGGCGAAAAGAAAGAGAAGATAAGTTCAGAGTTTTTGCGATGTTTCTGTCTATTTTTGCTTTTCGCTTTCGGCAAACCAGAGCAACTCACTTAAAGGTAAAAAAGAAGAAGCTTGAAGATGAAGAGCAAAATGATGATCAGATTGATGAGAAGGATGAAGATGTGGATAAGGATGAAGATGGCAAGGAAAAACCTTTTTTTTTCTTCGCTCTTCCAAACTAGAATATTTATTGATAAGAGAGGACAAGGATGAAGTTTCTATGGCAACTAGCATGCAGTTTCTCTCTTCTTTTTCATTCTCATCTTCACTCTATTCAATCAGTTGTTACCATCAGATGAAAAATAATGTGAAGATAAAATGTTGGTTTCCAAGCAACAGAGAGAGAGAGAAGAAGAAGAAGAAAAAGGTTTTTCCTTTTCAAGAGAAAGAGATGAAGATGAAGATGAAAAGACAAAAAGAGAAACTCGGATTTAAAAAAAATCCAAAGTGAGAATGAAATGAAAGTGGAAATGCTGCTTTTCGCAAGAAGACGAATCTTGGTCCATTTCGCTTCCATCAAGGATGATGCTGATGATGAGGAAAGGATGAGCAAAAGTGAGAAAAGGAAAGAAGAGAGAAAAAGTAAAAATATCTGTTGAATGTAGCTTTAGGTTGTTGATAATATTTTATTTGTTCACTGGTTTTTATCGATTAAATATTCGTCCCTTTATCATCCAAGATTCTTCCCCATCTTCATCATCATTCAATCTATTAATACATATATATCAGACTAAATCACTAGATTCATTTTATCTTCAAACCAATCTTTTAAAGATAATTTTTCGTGTTGAGTTTGCGTTGATCAAAAGAATCGATCAGTGATGCCTTCATATTTTTCATTGCAACCTGTTTTTTCTTGCCTTCTCTCTTCCTCCTCATTCCTTCCTCATCCACCTTTATCTTTCGCCTTGTTCATCTTTTGCCTCCCTTTCAGTTCTCTATCAAAATACAAAATGATGCTGTCGATCGATAAAAATAAAGCAGCAAAAAATTATCTCCTAAAAAAAGGCTTGAGCTTTGATGAGGAGCAACGAAAAATGATGATAATGTTGAAAATGAAATTTCATGCATTAAATTAGCTCTTCTCATGTTTTCATGTTTTTTTGTTTCCATAATTTTTCCATTCGCAAAACTTGCAATGAAAATGTTTGCATTCATCTTCAATTGATCTCATCAATCAGTGATCAAAAATGCGTAAAATTGGACACAATATTTGAAGCAATTTTGCAAAAACATGGAAACACTTGGAAGCTTGGAAAGGTTGAATAAAAACAAAAACCATTTCCATCAAATTTGTAACTCCAAGCTTTCATTATTAAGGGAATCCAAAATTTCCAACCAAACATTCAACTGTTTAAAATGTTTATTGCTCTAGTCGCTGGTAACAACTGTTACTTAAACTGTATTACAAGCAATTCTGATCGATTTTCAATTTCAACGATTATCGATCTCATCGATTTCGCTAAATCAACAGTTATTTACCAAAAATATCAACTTTTTATACTTCTTCTTTCTTCTTCTTCTTCTTCTGTATCGAGTTATCCAATAAACTTGTATTGTTGCAAAGAAAAGGCTCATTCAAATGATTTCCGTGAAAAACTATTCAAAATTGATTATCGATTTTCAACTTTTCTTCCTTTTGATCACCTTTAAAATACTTTATCGGATAACATTGATCATTACCGTCATCAATGAAAAGTCTTCAAGATCATCAGGTAATTCAATACCAGCAAGTCGTAAATGTTTACCTCTGACCTTTAAACTAAAATCTGGCAACATCTTAACGACACTCCAATTTGTTGGATAAAATAAACTTTCATCGTAAATAAAATCACTGACCAAGAAACTTGGTTTTTTCAGATTAACCATTTTCTCAACTTGAAGTAAAACCAACGCAAAGACTAATCGAGATTTATGTGAACCTTTCGGCAAGGAAAGTTCGATGATTGAGATCGAGTCATTAAGGTTCTCTTGAAAGTTTCAATAAAACAATATCCAACTTTGATGAAAATGGTAAAAAGACATTTTAGAAAAGCAAAAATTGGTAAACTCCAAAATCTTGTTAACGATGGTTTTGGGTTTTGAATGATATCGATTTACATTGGAAACAATATGCAAAGGTGCACAGTCTACTTTACTTGTTCATTTATCGCTTTCTGCTCTTCTTTCAATCCAAATCTCTTGATGATTTTGTTTCTCTATTCAAGTTGATGAAGTAAAAGCCTTTTTTTCTTGAGTCCGGAAATTTAATAAATAACCTTTAATCTAACTTGTGGTTGTTTGATGATGACCAGTAAACTAGTCCTTTGACAACAAATTTTCATCTTCAACTTGCATTCTGACCATTCAATATTCCTTGACCAACTAATAACTCTTTTTACCTCTTTACATCTCAACAACTTCATTTTCCTCATCATCATCTTCCATCGACAAGATGATAAATGAATCAGGCTCATTCATAATTGGATTACTTTATTCACAATTATTTTCATTTCTTCTTCTTCTGCTTACATGTAAAGCTGATGAAGAGATGAACGAAATGAGAAAAGAAACGAAATGGAAAAACAAAAGAAATATTGTTCCAATTGAAAGTGTTTCAAGAGTAAATATTCATTAAAAAACGGTGAATATAACTTGAAAATCCCTTCATTTTCATGGCTAAATATCTTGTAATTATTTACTGCAAATTGATGGGAATGAATCGTGAATGGAAGTAAAGGAGAATCAAATTGAATGAAACAATTTTCCTCTTCTTCACATGGTAAATGCCGATTCAATTGGATAATGTTTTTCTTTTCTTTTCACTCACCAAAATTCCTCTTCTGCATGGTTCATCAATTTTCTTAACCTTACCATTCTCATGATCAACTTTGAAAAATAACCAAAAAGATAACTTATAAAGCATTTCATTTTCAACAGCTCAACCTGCCATTTTAACATATTAATGATGGCAAGATAATATCGACTCTAATGGAGGTAAGAATATATTTCATCTGTTTAACTCTCAAGTGACAAACGCTGCAACTTGCAGTTTGCACCTTCTTTCACATCAAAAAATACGAATAATCATTCAAACTAAACGTTTCCAATCTACAGTTTCAAATCCTGAACCACCGCTTTAAAAGAGTTTCCAAACATTGCAATTTCTTCCAAGAATAACAACTTTATTTAGATAGAATCAAATCAGTAAATCATATTATTCTGAGCAGAGCATTCTTCTAGCAATAAATGAATCTTAGCCACATAATTTGGGTTCATAAATGTTTTGTATCATTCAACTTATTATATCATACAAAATAAATGCTTCAATCTTTATAATTGCAATAAGAAAGTGTAAAACACTCAAACATTTGCATTGAATGAAATCTAACTCTAGATTTAGCGATTGGTGGTCGAATTGCATTTCAGACGGAAACTTCTAGTTACTGGAGAGTTTTTGGGTTCATTTGTGCTCTTTAACATCAACTTGCAAAAGAAATGTTTCGATGCTAACGAAGTAGCGATGTTTATAATAAGTATAGCATCATATCAGGTGCCAAGTATTTCATTGAACGAGCATTAGCAGCTAATTTTGTTGATTAATTCAGAATGAAAATGAAAACTTTCTACTGAGTAAATATGAGAACAATAATTCAGTAAATATCAATTTTCCTTCATTGTTATAATTTGAATGTTTTTTGCTTCCAACCTTGTAAGCAAATATGAAAAGAGAAACAGTTATTCACTTGAATTTCGCTTTTCTCACCAAATTTTGGTTAGTTTATGAAAATGTAATTCTCAATTGCAATGTTTTCTTGCAATGTTTTTGCAAAACCATTTTACATTCTTGTTCTCACATCTCAACGGTAGCATCTCATTATCATGAATATAACATCATGATATAGACAAGAACATGTTATTTTTGAAACATTAACATTCTAATTATAGCATTAAAAGAAAAGAAAAGGAGACAAAAAACTTTACTCGAAACATTTTGAACACTTTTATGTTCGCTTTTTTCCTAATACTCGCAACATAATACATAGATATAATGTTCAAAATACATCTCATGAGACTAATTAATTTGCATTATCAATGTTTGATTAGTTCATGTGAACCAACGTTTCAGCTTGATTGATTGGATATGAAGAATTGATTGAGACGAGAAACGGTAAACTGTTTACTGTTGCGATCAACTTGCAACAATCAAAGTCACAAAATGCGACAAAATTAAAGGTCAATTGGTAAAAATTGGATTCTCTTGATATGACAATGAAAAAGTTACTATCAATGTCATGATGTTGTGAAAATGATATTAAATTCAGTTTTTTATTCAGCCTAAGTGTTCACCAATTAGACAATTAGTGAAGCTTCATTTACAATTGATCATGTTGTTCAAGTTGAATGTTCATTAATCAACAATATTAATGATGCACTGTTAAAGTGTTTAAATATCGACCGAAGAGGAAAAAAGAAGAAAAGACAACATTCTTTTCGAGCTCATTTTTGTGTGTAACGTTGACATTGATAGAAATGATGAATTGAACATTTGCTATTTTTCATCACTCGAAATGATGTTGCAGTTTGGAATGTTTGGGTCACTTTGTTTCATGGTTCAACATTTTCCACTGAGTTTTTTGATGGATTCCATGTTTTTGCAAATGAACGAATCATTATCTCGAAAAATTTTGGTCAACTTGATGATACAACGCTTAGAGACGAGTGTAAATGAGTAAAATGAATTTTCCTAATTAAGATAAGATGAAGAGAGAAAAAATAACTTGC